AAGGAGTTTTGCAATTTCCTGAAGGAAATCCAGCCTCTTCCCCTTCACCTGTTGAACCCCAGAACCAATGCATTTTCCAGTCTATCACAGATAAAAGTACCTAGGCAAGCTCCATATAGACTCTCCATCTAATTATACACCAAAATCTGAGCAATAGATCATAAATCTCCTTGGTTTTTCTCATGTAAACTGTCAGAGCAAATTTTTTCAATGTTTTTCGGCTTGATGCCGTTATCATGAAGTCATTGTTGAGTAAGGAACATTTAAAGAACATCACCATCTAAAAGGAATCCTTCTTTGACTTGAAATTTGTATTAGATCTTCTCCATAATGGTGGTGAGCACCTCTGACAAACATACACGTCCTAGTTTTATGCTTCTCTTAATACTGATGATTCTATGATCATCAAAGTTATGTCTTTTGTTATATCTTTCAAAGAACCGCATATAAATTTGATACGGGGATAGAAAAGACTATCTTGGAAGAGAGTCTTTAAGATGGAATTTTGCTCTACTAATTCAAGTACTTTCTCATAGTCAACAACAACAACAACAACAACAACAACAAAAGTAGTAAAGATATGGTCTGCTGTGTTATAATATCATTTACAAAGAGCCTACCAATAAACTCATAAAGAATGCCCTCAATAATGTGAAATTATGCAGAAAAATTTTAGTCCCATAGAAGTAATGTAAGGAACACCCTCTCTCCCACTCCTTTGTAGAGGTCCATAGGTAAGGAACATTGTATTTAATATCCAGCTTCTCAATGTGTTGATCAATTTTGCTGATTTTGAAAAATTCTTCTTCCTCTTATTCTTTATTTTATTTAAAAAAAAAATCTTTGTTATAAAGAATGGGGGAGGGACACAGGAAAAATCTAGGTAATGTAAAAAAAATCAATAAAAATCTATTTTAAAAGAATGTCCTCAATGAGGGTGTACATTACTCTCACAAAACTTTTATATAAATGGGAAAGTAGGCATATAGGTCAGTAGTTACTATTTTCTAGGTCACCTTGGTAATTTCTTTTCCCATTTAAATATACTCCTCTCTAATCATGAAAGCTCTATCTCCCCCCCACCCCACCCTTTTTTTTGTTATCCTAGAATTCTCATTCATCTATATTCTCTTAAAGTAAAAAGAAAAAAAAAACGCCCTCCCAAGAAATCTGACCCCAATATATTTGGAAACATTTCAATTACAAACATTATTAAATATGTAGATGGGAAAGAGGAAGTATAGGTAATAGAGTGGATCTAATTTATCTTTTAAAAATATGACTAAGCAGGACATAGAAAAAAATCAGTGATGTGGAGGTAATAAAAGAAAAAGAAAACAAAAACAACTTATAAGAAGATTGATCAAATGAATTCAACTGTTTCTACTCTGAACTTCTGAACACCCTAATATTCCTTAAACTTTGTAACAATGATTTCACATCAACAAAACCTTGATTCATTCAATTTGAAGCACAAAAATAAACTCCATAAATTGCTAGGGAGACAGAGCTTTAGAAGGGTCTAAAATAGGAATCTTTAACCTTTTTGTTGTGTTTCTTGGACCTCTTTGGCAATCTGGTGAAGCCTGTGAAATTCTTCTCAAAATGTTTTTAAATGCATAAAATAAACTACATAGGATTACAGAGGAAGCCAATTAAATTGAAATAGTTATCAAAAATATTATAAAAGGACCTGTTTACAGACTCCAGGTTAAATACCTGACATAGAGGGTGTGGGTTTTGGATGCGTACTCCTCAATGCAGAAATTTGAGCTCTAGAGATGTCATAGGGAAGTCTGAAGGCAACAAAATGAAATAATTGATTTTATAGCCCAACTCTTCTCATCCCCACACTAAGACTCCAAGTTAGGTTTCACTGTTCCTCTGGTTTTACCCAGATGAATCAATCAATGAGTAAGTATTTGTCCAACTGCATGTAGAAATGTGAAAGCGATTGCTTTCATAATGCTTAGTCCCAGGCCCTGGTTTTTTTTTTTGCTGGTGTCCACCCCCAACTCCTCCTTTGAATTCATTCAACAAATCCAATCTGTTGTCAAATCAGCTGTCATATATGTCTTCATCTCTTCATATAACAGCCATCCTAATACAGATCCTCATCATCTCATTTCTGCACTAATGACCATGCTTTTTGGTTTACTTCCTTGCCTCAAGTCTTTCCCCCATTCCAACTCATCCTTGACTCTGCCACCAACATGATTTTCCTAAAACAAAAGTCTGATGTCATTAACCCACCTTCCTCCCTACTCAATAAACTCCAGTGGCTATTATGGCCAGGACCAAACAAAATACTCTGTGTGATTTTTAAGCCTTTTTTATAACCTGACTGCTTCCTACTTCTTTAGTATTCTTATACTTGACTCTTCTCCACATACTTTGCAACCCATCCTTGCTAGCCCACTTGCTACTCTTCACAAATAACACTTCATCTACCAAGATGATTTTTCACTGGCTGTCCCCACTACAGGAATGGTTTCCCTCCTTATCTTCTCCTACTGGCTTCCCAGACTTCCTTCAATAAGCTCAAATCTCACCTGCTGCAGGAGGCTTTTCCTAATTCCTCTAGCTGCTAATACCTTCCTGTCTGAGATTACCTTTTGTCCACCCTGTATATACCTTGTACATAATTATTTGCATGTTGTTTTCACCATTAGAATATAAGCTCCTTAAGAACAGGTACCAAAGTGGGTTTTTTCCCCTTTGTATCTTCTTTGCTTAGTATTGTTTAGCACGTGGTAAGTGTTCAAGAAATGTTTGCTGACTGTCTAGCACTGTAATAGCTAGTTTGTAACTATGAGCAAAGGGTTGCCTTGTAGAATCTAGAATTGGTCACCAATTGTAGGCATGAGTAGTATGGCAGATTCCATGTTGTCCCTATCTACAGCAGGGACTCCAGGGGGATGGGATTGAGAACTCTTGTGCTTCTGGGTCATTTAAGTCCCTGTATGTGCTTCCTCTTCTTTCTTTGTTCACCTGCTACCATCAGAATCTTAAGGCAAAGCACACTTGAGATGCAGCTGGGTCAGTGAGAAACACAAGAAACCTCTGTACAAATCTTGTAAGAAGTGGGCTTCTTTTTTCTTTTAAAAAAGGAGAAATTATGACAGAACGATGTCTGAGAAATATAGAAATATGATTCTGGGCACAAGTTTGAAGTATAAAAAATCAAGTAGGTGTGGATTTAAGTTTTCATTAAATCAAGGCTGAGGCTGACTTGTGGGTAGTGCAAATAACAGAAAGCTGAGTGTTTGAAAGATAGAAATGCTATTTAAATTATACAAAATTTATAAAACTGTTTTAAGACTAAGGCTGCCAGAATCCATCACCATAGAATCAATTTACAGTCATTTAAATTTATATTCATTTATATTGAAATATGCGTAGTCTACATATACACATACATACATATATTCCCCTTCTTAGATATGGTTGCCTTTATATTTGGAACAGTGTCGGAGAATGGCTTAAGGCCAGCAGGAGTTGGGAACCTGCAGCCTTGAGGCTACATGTGGCCCTCTAGATCTTCAAGTGCAGTCCTTTGACTGAATCCAAATTTCATAGAACAAATTTCCTTAATAAAAGGAAAGTTCTGTAAAACTTAGACTCAGTCAAAAGGCCGCACCCGAGGACCACATGGTGCCTTGAGGCCGCAGGTTCCCTACCTCTGGAAGGAGTCTTCATGCTCCAGTTTCAGATCTAAGGATTTTGTGCTCAGAAGAGTAGATGGATAGGTGGGATAGGATTGCAGCTTGGTGTGTGAAGGACTAGGTAAGTCGACAAAAAGCTGTGGGATTGGATAGGAGAGAAAGACTAGCAATGAGACAATATGTTTAAGTAGGAGAGAGAGTGATAGTCACTGAGTAGATTGTTCCCTATCATTATTTGTAATATTTGTAATTATTTTTAAAGGAGGTGGTTTTCATTTTATTCTATTCCTGTGATTTAATTGGTATAGGAGACTTCCAATGAGGAAAAGTCCTCTTTGGATACAGATCCACACTTACTCTGCAACTTAAAATTTGAGGGAGAGGTTAAGTGACCTGATTGGAGGGCTAGGGGTGTCACACAACCTGTTTGCATCAGAGACAGGAAATCAGGATATTCTTGCCTCCAAGGCTGGCTCTCTGCACACCTCTCACATAGATTTTTGCAAACCTTTGGCAAACAGACTTTATTTTTCTTTACCCAAAATGTCATCATTCTCTTCCTCTTATCACAGCACTTTAATATTCACACAGAGATTTGCACATAAGTTATCTCATTTATTCCTGACAACAATCCAGTGAGGTAGATGATGTCATTATTATTATCATTATTTTGACTTTCTAAAAATCAAACCTTACTTTTTCCTTTAAGAAAAATCATTTTTTCTCCTTCCCACCCTCCATCCAACCATTAAAAAAAGGAGCAACAAAACTCTTGAAAGAAATATGTTTAGTTAAGTAAAACAAAATCCACTTTGTTCATGACAAAGAAATACATGTCATTCTATACCCTGAGTCCATCATATCTCTGTCAGGAAGTGGGTAGCATGGTACAAGTGTAGCCCTTTGGAATTGGTTAATCATTGCATAAATTAGAGTTTTTAAGTCTTCCAAAGTTTCTTTTCTTTACAGTTTTGTTGTTACTATATAAATCATTTTCCTGGTTCTGCTTACTTCTTTCTGTGTCAGTTCATTTAAGACTCTTCCTGTTCTACTGAAACTCTGTCTTTCATGATTTATTACAGTACAATAGTATTCCATTGCATTCATATGCCATAATTAATTCAATCAGATGATATGATTATGCCCATTTTATAGAGGAGGAATGAAGGATAGAGGAGGTTAAGTTACTTTCCTGGGGTCACACATCTAGTAAATGCCTGATTTGATAACAGGTCTTCCTAACTCCATGTATAGAACTTGAACTGCTGTCCCCATCTATCTGCTTTGGAAACATTTGACAGCCTAAACATGAAGGGAATAGAAATAATTGGGTACCTTATCACTGAAAGTCCAGCTCCAATGTAATTTAGCAGAGGCCTTGATATGTCTTCAGGATCCATTCCAAACCACCCAAACCTGAAAAAAAAATCAACATAGCTGGCTTAGGTCTTATTGAAAAGTTGAAGAGTTTTGAATTTTGTCCTTTTATAACCATAAAGATTCTATGGTCAATTTGGTTGGTGGAGAAGATGTCACAGAAGGAACATTGTTCTAAGCCTTGGACAAAGGAGCCAATGGTATGGCTAATTTCAATAGAAAACCCCTCGCACAAATCTTGGAAATGTTTGAAGTGGAACAAGTAATTTTTAAATGGGACTTGTGATAATAGAGCTAAAAATCTCTTTCCTGTCAAACCACTTCACAGCCCTTAACTTTGGTCCAAATCACTATAAACACTCCCTACTACCAATAGTGATACTAGACTGTAAGTGATACTAGACCAATAGTGATACTAGACTCATCCCTTGTGAGTAGGGAATATTTTGTTCATTGTATTTATATCTCCCAATGTCTAGTAGTAAGGGCCACTTCATATTAATTGCTGATTGAGGATGAGGAGAAGTTGGGGATACTTTGAGGTTTATATTAAAAATGAATAATAGTCTGGTCTTCTAATTTATAAGAATCTTTAAATTGATCAAGACTGGTCTGTAGATAACAGACATCTAGTTGTTTACTAGACCTATACACCTTTTTCCAGCTTGATAGGACCCTCTAAAGTTTACATTTTACTGGGATAGGCTTTGAGGACCCAGAGTCATTTCCATGACACCATTGGAAAATGGAGGAAGACTTCAGTGTAGAAGATGTAGATGGCCTCCTCTCCCCAACTGAGCTTCTGGTTTTATGAAATAATTCTTCAATTAAACATTAGAGGAAGACTTCAAAGGGGGAAGCATATTCTACCTCCTGTCCTCAGCTAATGCTTTGATCTTACAAAGTAATGCTGTCAGATCAGATAGTCCTTTTCCATGGATTTACCAAATTTTAAATGAATTGCCTTAGTGAATTTTCTTTAAAAATTATAATGAAATTTAATTAAAATGTTTTTCTCTTGAGGTTTATTAAATTACTCTTTGCATCTCTCATTTGACATTTATCCTGGTACCATGTAGAGTCATTAACCTGCTTATACATAGGTCACACACACAAATGCACACACATACAAACATATATATATATATTTATTTATATATGCATGTGTATATATGGATGTGTGTAAAAGTTCTTTAGGTAGATATAAATATACACATGGGCATATATACATATACATACATACACATACATATGCACAGGATTGTAGGGGTATGTATACATGTATGTGTGTATGTATATATATATTATATATATAAAAATATATATATATATTTCTTTATACAAAAATACATGCATATATATACCTTCCTCTGCCAAAGTCCTACTGTCATGCCTCATTGTGGTGCAGAATTGCCCCAGGTTGCTTTGAGACAAGGCCAGTAGAGTACATTCTCTGACAAGTACTTGCAATGTGTTGTTTTTGAGGATACATGTAGTAATGGATGATGTGGCTACCATCAGAGGATAGTACCTATAGTGATGAAATCACAGGATTGTAGAAATAATGAAGTTTGATGCAGTATGTATTTGTTTTATTTAAGGAAACCTCTAATTTCATCAGTGTGTGGAAATCCTGATACTAAAAATCCCTTGAATCATGCAGAACCGAAATTTGTCTGCAATTTAAAATCTTTTTTGAGGGGGGGGGATTTATTTTTTCATTTGCCCAACATTTGGAAAGGTTAAATCCAAAACTAACAGTGTAGCTTGGCTAGCTGCCGTGAAGATGTCTAGTTCTCCATCTCCATAGCTTCTCTTATTCTGTTCCTTCTCCTTTTGGAGGCACCAATTCATGAATTGGGAGAGAGAGGGCATGAACAATAACAGGGTAGGGTCAATGTCAATGTCAAAGACCTGCTTGGGGATAGGCTGCAACTTAAAATCTTAAGAGGCTTGTCTCAGGACAGTGAGATTTTAGGATCACATTTTGAGCTGGAACAGATTATTAGATCACTCAGAGGTGATCTAGTCTAATCTCTTCTATTTATATTTGATGAAACTGAGGCCTGGAGAAATGGAGTGATTTGTTTAATAGCTGAGACATGAACCCAGGCCATGTGACTTTATAATTAGTATTCTTTCCACTTGCTTAGGGTTATGGGTATATTACTAGATCAAGGTTCTCTTAATCTGGGATCCTGATGACTGTATTTCAATACAATTGGTTTCCTTTGTAATCTAGTGTATTGTAAATATGCATTTAAAAACGTTATTCAGAGTAGGGGTTGATCTAGGCTTCACTAGAATGTGAAAGGAGTCTACGACAAAAAATTATCATCTTTTGGGTTTGTATTACCTCCTTTCAAATATATTAAAGCTAACATATAATGTTTTGGGCTTGCAAAGCACTCATCATATATTACCATTTTATTCCTCTGCTACCCAGAGGCCACATTACTTATAACAAAGTATTTTTAAAAAGGTGGTGGTGGTGGGGAGAAGTTAAATAAAACTAACCAACATGCCAATTGAACCCACTGAGCCAATTGAGTCATTAGACCCTCACCTGCACATTGTCTCTCACCTTCAATTATCTCTCACCTTCACAGAAAAGGGAGGAAGGTGCATTTTCAAAGAATGTCTCATAAATTTCTTTTGTAACCCTAGTGCCTAATATGGTGACTTGCACAGGGGAGGAGCTCTATGAGGGTTGGTTGCTGATGACAATTCTATCTGAATTGGGTTACCTTGAGCTTGCCCAGCCTGTCAGTGAGTTAAATGATCCCCAGATTAAAAGTCCAAGGCCTAAACCAATTGTTTTAACAATAGGGACGACAGTGATGTTACCTGCAAGACAAAAATCATAGGGAAAAAGTCTACTATCATAAAAAGTACAGAAAATACATGTAGAAGTAAAACTCAAATTTAAAATCAACAGCAACTGAACGCCTACATTATACCTAGTATTTTGCTACATTTCCCCTATTTATTAATAACAATATATTTCTTTGGTATACATTTTAAAGTTGTAAAGTCCAAAAGCAAAATTCCCAAAGCAAGATATTTTGCAGAAAAATGTTGGGCAAAGCTAACTACTAAGTTGCAGAAATACTCTTCAGCCTTGGCATGCGCCTTTGTTCAGGCATATGCTATTTTTAGAAAGCACTGCTGATGCTGAAAATGGTTGGGGTTTTATGCTGGCTATGCTATTACATAGAGGTAAAGTGGGCTGTAGGGCTGGATTTGTATCAGAAAAATGCCTCTGACCCTGGACGTATAACTTAACCTTTCTGAAGGTCATGCAATTCTGTAACACTGTTAGTTATAAAAGGGTCATGATCTGGGTCGTGAATAGGAGTTTCCCCACATAGAAAATTATTGTCTACCAAACTGACATGAATTTAGATCTGGAAGGGATCTTAGACGTCTTAAAGGCCATCCAGTTCAACCCCTTCATAGCACAAGTGAGGAAACTGAGGCTCTTTACCTTGAGGTAAGCTATTAAAGATAAGACTAACCCATGGGAAATCCATACCCCAAATCATACTCAGGTGGATAAAGTTCTTTTTGTCCCTCTTTCTCTCTACATTTCCCCCTATCGAAACCTGTTCTGAGAAAAGAATGTGATTAATTCTCACTACTGGGCAAATGTCTGAGGCTTAAAGACCTAGGTTTTAATCCTGACAAAGGGCAAGACATTTAATCATTCTATTCTTAGTTTTCCCATTTGTAAAATGAGGGGGTTGAACTATATGATTTGTAGGAACCTTTAGAGCAGGGGATCTTAATCTGGGGTCCATGAACTTAAAAAAAAATATTTAAAGTATTTCAATATAATTGGTTTCTTTGGTAATCTTATGTATTTTATTTTATTCATTTAAAAACACTGACAGGGGTGCCTAGGCTTTACTAGATTGCCTTAGAGATACATGATTCAGACAAGCTCAAGAACCTGTGTTTTAGAGTGTCAACATCCTCTACCTCATAAAGAATTCCATTCCATTCCATTCCTTTCAATTCAATTCTGCAAGTATTTATTGTTGACTATGTGGTAGGTACTGTGTTAGGCACTAATGATATCAAGACAAAAAATGAAGCTGTCCCTGACCTCATGAAACATGCATTCTTCTGGGGGCAGAGAGCAACATTTACACAGAAACCTGTACAAACATTCCACTTACAGTTGACTTTAGGCAGAGAGGAGGGGAGAGGACTGATAGCTGTGAGTCCAAGAAATGTCTCCTATTGAAGGTAAATCTGAGATCTGTTTTCAAGAATTGTCACTCCCAATATTATTTATCTCTTGACTAAGGGCAAGGGTTGTGTTTGTATAAGTCAAATAAAGGAAGCTATAATTGTGGAATTCCAAGCATCAGCAAGCTGAATAGGGGAGATATTTAGTTGGGATGTATGAGGGAACTTGCCACAAATTATACCACCTATACAGTTGGGTAGAGCAAAAGGCTTAAATTCTGATTCTGACACTGTGACACTTCAACTGGACAAGTTTTGGAGTCTGTCTCTTCATCTGTAAAATGGGAATAACAATGACCTATACCTCTTCTGGGTATTGTCAGGAAAGGCTTTTGTAAACCTTAATGTGTTAGGTAAACATTAGTTACTATTATTGTTTTCTCCAGCCCTAACTGAGACTGACCCTGGGAATGGCAAGACCAGACATTTCTACTTCACATCCTCATTAGACTTTAAAAGGGGCAGGTACTCACAGAAAAGAGCCAGGGAGCAAGCATTAATTAACTACCTATTATGTGCGAGGCACTGTGCTAAAACACTTTACGATATTTTTTTCACTTGATCCTTACAACAGCTCTGTGAGTATTGTTAGTGAGGTAGGGATGAGATGCTTTGAATTCTGTCACCTGCTTATGCCTGTTCTGAGAGGAAGCTTCTTCACAATGGTGAAGTTAGTTTAAAAAATGTACCTGAGGAGTAAGAGTGAACGACTGCAGGAAGAGTGGAAGAAGTGACATTTCCAGGATAGTCTTTCCGAATAGGACTTTCCTTCTCCTATTTCCAGACATGTCTACAGGTCTGGGATGCTCTTTTCCTCATTTCTGCCTTTTGCAATCTCTAGCTCCTTTCTAGGCTTACTTCACTTTTCAGCTGGGGAAGCCAAGCAGTGCAGTGGATAGAGCATCTGGATTACAGACAGAAGATGTTAAGTTCAAACCTGGCCTCAGATACTAGCTGTGTAAAGACCCTAGGTAGATCACTTTAATCTGTTTGCCTCAGCTTCCTCATCTGTAAAATGGGGGAAATAATATCACCAACCTCCCAGGGTTGTTGTGAGGATCAAATGAAATACTAACACATAGTAAACACTATATAAATATTAGCTATTGTTATTATTATCTCCTACTCAAGACTTTTCCTGATCCTTAGAGTTATCAGTGCTCCCCACTTCTTAACATGAAATTATTTTGTATCTCTGTTGTAGATATATTGTTTTTACTAATCTGTGTATTTGTGTTATCCCAACAACAGAATGCAAGCTCTTTGTGGGCAGGAATAATGATAATGATGATGATGATGATGATGATAATGATGATGATGATGATGATGATGATGATGATGATGATGATGCCTCACACTTACGTATCACTTTAAAGTTTACAAAGCACTTTACAAATATTATCTCATCTTATTCTTGTGACAACTCTGGATTATAGGTAGTATTATTACTCTCATTTTCAAGATGAGGAAACTGAGGTAGACAGAGGTAATAACTTGCCCAGGGTCACAAAGCTAGTATCTGAATTCAAATTTGAACTCAGAGCCACCTGATTCCAGGTCCAGCACTTTATTCGTGTGCCATCTACTTGCTTCTAGTCTTTGTAGACCCAGCACCTAGTATAGAATCTAGGAGGTAACAATAATAAATGCTAACTGAATTGAATTGGGGAACAATTTTGTGGAATTCATTTTTGTAGCATTGGCCAGGGGGCTTTGCTCTAGTTAAGGGATCGAAAATTGTAAGCACAGACAGAGCCTCACAAAACATCTTTCCATTTGAATAATGGTACTCTTAGACACATATTCATCAAAAAGAGATTGCTCAATCTCTTGTTAAAATTGCTAAAATATTGGGCTAATGATTCCTGTGTAGGAAAAAACCTGACAAATCTGATTAGTATAGAAGTAGGTTTTTAAATAAACTGCATTGTAACTGCCCCACCCCCATCAATTGTTAACTGTGCAAGTGATTTATTAATCAATATAATGATGCACTCCTTGTAAAAATAAACAATGAAAGTATTCAAAAATACATCATAAATGCATTTGTAAACAAATGGCCCCAATGATTTTGGGAAATTTGGCTGTTTCAAAAATAGCATAAAGTTTTATGGATCATGAATTTTTTAAGGATGTATACTACAAAAGATCTTCAACCCAAAGCCTAGAATTGCATTTAAGAGGATGGAATTCCTGCCCCGAATGTAGAGTGGAAAGTAATCTGTGAGGTCATCTTTATTTGGCAGATGAAGCAACTTGACTTGCCTAAAGATACATGTAATAGTAGGGCCAAGATGTTAACCCAAGTCCTTCGGTTCTAAATCATTGCCTCCTTGATAGTGTAGTAGATAAGGCATTGGTCTTGGAGTCAGGAAGACCTCGAGTTCAAATTTCATATCTGACATTAGCTCTATGACAGGGCAAATCACTTCTCTAGGCCTCATTTTCCTTGTCTATAAATGAGGGGGCTGTATTCAATGCTCATTTCTAGCTCCAATTCTATGATCCTACTTTGATGGGTCTATGCTCTCACTGATGTGCACACTTCTACCTCCACTAGGAAGGACATAACCACTCACAAGTTTTTCCAACGCTTGTCCAAATCCTACTTGGGAACTGGGGTGGTACTCAACATACTGGGTGCCTCCTTGACATTGCATGGCTACCAATAGAGTTTATTAACTACGTATCCCTTTCTCTTGTTACGTGACCAATGTCCCTCCTATTTCAGGCATATAACTCTTAGTTAACATCCTTTATTCTGTGTCTTCAGCACAGTTTTTCACTACTTATACGTTCCAGTCTATTGATACCCACATATGCCTCTGCACTTCCTCTTGTTATATTAAATATATGACAGATAGGAAAGTCCAGAATGTGTATCATGATGTTCTCTACTAAATTACTGAGTAGTTTTTATTTCAGCTAATGAGGATTCATAGTCAAGAAATGTGTTAAGCAACAATCACTACTGGTACTAGTCCATATAAAGGAAACGAAAGAGATCCTAAGGAAAGGGTAAAGGTATAGTGTTAGAGGGAAAAAGGTAGAATAGTTGGAGTCAGGACTTGGGTTCAAATCCAAATTTTGTCACATTCTGCCTGCAACCATAAGTGAGTCTTTTAACCTCTGGGTCTTCATTTTCCTCTTGAGGGGATTGGATTCAACATCTAAAATCTCTTCCAATTCTAAATCTCTGAGCCTACATTTATAAAGGTCATATAAATATGACATTAAAATGTAAACATACATTGTTTTAGTCATAGTTTTTAAGTAACAAAAGATCTTCTATACATTACCTGTGGCCCAAACACAACCCCCAAGCATTGCGAGAGGCCAAAACTTTGGACAATGGAGTAACAGATTGACCACTAAGGAAACTGTCCATATGGCAGCACAGAGAATCCATTGAAGAAACATTCCTGACAATAGAGCAATAATTTATTATCAAGGGTTTACATCTCAATTTTACTAGGTATATGCTTAGAGATATTTATGGGGACACTTGTCTCACTGTTATATTATCTCTTCACTGACTATGCAAAGCAAACTGGATTTCTTCTCACCAATACCTGAAATTAGTGAGTGATTCTACACTTTCATCTTGGTACCATGCTGGTTATCATAGCTAACTGAAGAAAACTGACATAGAATTACAGTTTTGTACAACAGCTTTCTGAAGCTCATGTTTTTGTGATTCTTACTATTGCCCTAGTAATAAAATAAATAAATAAATATGTATGTGTGTGTGTGTATAATAAAATAAAAAAGGAGGAATATAAAGTTAATTATTTTAAGTTCCTCTCGGCTGAGACATCAAAAAAGCAGGGAGTTAGTTTCCTGTAAATGAAAATATACTTTCTAAGTTCTAAGTAGCCTTTTAATGAGGTGGAGGTAGGAAGGTGAATGCATTTCCTGAAAGTTTTCCTTTTGCAACCTTTGGATTTCACCCACTATTGGCAAAAATAATAAAAGTGAAACTTCAGAAGAGTCAAGAAAGTCCATAACCAAAAGGTTCACTTAAAGAAAGAAGCTAGAGTTGCGAGCAAATAAATTGTAATACAAGTATTTGCCCAGCTGAGAAGAAAAGGAATGAGATGGAAATTGGCTGGAAAAAAAGCCCAATGAGAATGGCTGATGGTAGGCTGTTGTATGCATTGGCTATAATTATCAGGGAGCTACTCATACCCTAAAAACAGGTATCTATCAGTTAATGTGGTAAAAAAAAGTAACAAAGTCCACTATAAAAGAGTCAGAGTCATAGTATAATACAAAGTGGTTTGCCCCTAGTTTAGCAGAAAAAAATGGTCAGTAGGAGCCATCAAAAATCAAGGATATTAGTCTCATTAAAATATGAAGAGAAATAGAAAACTGTAACTGACTGTCGCTTGTGGAAAGCACAGAAATAGCTCAGTCACAAACTATGTGTTTATTGGGTACAAATTGAATTGTCTGTTATATGAGGTGAAAGGGTTAGAAGAATGCTTCTTTCTTTGCCATCTTGTCAGGGAAAATGAAGTCATCTTCCCTGGTAGAATAGAAGAAATGTTCCAGGCTGGAAAATAGAACAGAAGGGGTACCGTAAGACTTCAAAAGTCATATTCTTTGATCTTGAAAAATGGTAAGAAAATGAAATTTATCAACCCTAAACCAGTGAGTTTGACTTCACTTTCTGCGAATATTTTAGAAAATTTTATTATTAATATTTTTTTAAACCAGACTTGTAATTTCATCAGTGTAGGGAGCAAGTCTTAGTGATGAATTTTCACTTCAAAATGCAAATAGGCACCTAGTCCCAAACTCATAGTCTTACTGAGTGGCCTGCATCACTGAGAGGACAAATGGCTTGCCCAGGATTGCACAGCCAGGATGTGTTAGAGTAAAGGCTTGATACAAGTCTAATTCTAAAATCAGCTCCTTTCATCTATGATTATAGCCTCTGCAGTATATTACTAAATAGATGGTTAGTAAATATCTAGAAAAAGGTACCAGGATAGTTTAAACAAGAGCAAGTGATATCAGTCTAACCTCATTTAAAAAAATAGCAATATTAGATTGACAGATCAGAAAAATGCAGTAAAGTACACGTAGATTTTAGAAAAGGCTTTGATGAGAGTATCTTATGTTCTTCTTTTGGAGAAGATGGACAAAGGCAAGCTAAATAGTTATTAATGATTCTATATCAACTTGAAAATCTTTAGGCAACCTGTCACTAGCTGTCTGGAGACAGCTGATATCACAATGGTTAGAATGAAGATCTGAGTTCAAATTCAGCCTCAGATACTTATGAGCTATGTGACCCTAGGCAAGTCATAGCCTCAGTTTCCTCAACTATAAAATGGGGATAATAATAGCAACTACCTAACAGTGATGTTCTGAGGATCAAATGAAAGAATATTTATAAAAAAGCCCCTAGCATATAGTCAGTACTATATAAAGGCTTCTCTTCCCTCTTTGATAGAATATGGATCTGAAGTTGGCCCTGTGCTATTTCACATTTTTAACAATGACATGTCTAAAGTCACACTTAGCAGCCTTATCAAATCTGCAGAAGATACAAAACCAAAAGTGATAGCTGACACATTGCATGACAACATGCAAATAGAGCATGACCAGAAAAATACTGGGCCGGCTTTTATGAAATGAAACTTAATAGGATACATCTTACATCTTGTATTTTATTTCACAATGATTTCATGCTTATAAGATGAGCAAGATAGGGAGAGACAGCAGTTTGTCTAAAAAAAAAGAATTGAAGGTTTTAAAAGTGGCTTGCAAGCTCAAAAAGCCAAGTTAATATTAGCTTGCATTAAGAGAGGCAGAGTTTCAGGAATGAGGATGCTACGCTCAGCCAGGTCAGATCATGTTTGGAATATTGTATTCAGGTCTGTGTGATATATCTTAGGAAGGACACTGCTAAACTTCAGAATGTCCAGAGGAGATTGACCAGTATGGGAAAGGCCTTTGAGTTCATTCCATAGGAAGGACAATGGAAGGAAGTAGGGGTTGTTAGAGTAGAGAAGACTCAAGGGAAACATGACAGAAGTCTTCACGTATTTGAAAGGCTGTCATATGAAAGAATTAGTAGATTTGTTCTGCTTGGTTCCTGAGGGCAGAACTAGGAACCATGGAGGGATGTTGCAGAGGCGCATTCACACTTGATGTCAGGAAAAGATTTCCCAATAATTATAGCTATCTAAAAATGGAATGAGCTTTCTTGAAAGGTAGCAGGTTCCCTGTAATGTCTTTGACCAAAGGCTGGCTAATCTTATTTGTTGAAAATGTATTAGTGGGGATTCTTTTTTGGAAATGGATTAGGAAAATAACCGGTAGGATTACTTCTCCTATGAAATTCTATGAACAAAAGACTGGGAGGAAGAAGGAGGGAATCTACAACTATCTTGAATTTGAAGGGGGAAAATAATACTAACTGATATTAATATAATGCCCTATGGCTTAGACACTGTTTAAGCTTTAGTAGCTTAAAATTACACTAAAGCTTTTTGGGACATCCTATATATTGTTCCATTATGACCCAAACACCACTTCTGTGAGGTGGCTATTAAAAGTACTATTATTCCTCCCTTCCTGACTTTTTTTTTTTAACAAATAGGGTAACTGAGGGCCAGAGAGACGAATACACTTGTCCTTCATCACACAGCTTCTAAGTGTCACAGAAGGGATTTGAACCCAGGTCTTTCCTGAACTCAGGTCAGTCTATCATTTGTTCCACTACACAATGTTGTTTCTCTAAAAATGAGACAGAAAAGAAAGGAGGAAGAGGGATTTCTGCTGTACACTTGGAGCTACATATTAATATCTGGTTCTCTCCAGCCTCCCTCCCCACCCTCGCCGTGGCTGATCCTGACATCTTGAGAAAGAAGCAGTTTTTATGTTCACAAAATGAAAAGGAGGACCCACAGAGGCTACCAGAAATGAGGTCATCTATTACTAGTCACAGAGAGAAGAGATATTTGTCTTGGGATCCCTGCTTAGGGATGCTGAGTTAGCCATATGTTGACCTCCCATGGCTAACAACAGAAGTTAGGATGTTCTCATACCCCGGGAATCTGGCACATCATGAACTGTCTTCTAAGACTTGTTCAAATTTTCTGAACAATACCCTCTTCTGATGATTCAAGTGGGAATAAATAGAATCAATACTGAGACCTAGAAAGATTCTCTAGGGTAATAAAACCTAAAATGAGAAACTTAAGGATTTGAGGACACAGATGACATTTTTACCATTATTTTGGATTGGTGGTAGGGACTTAAGAGAAGAAAGCAAAATATTGAAAGTAAATCATTTACTAAGAAGATAGAATCAGAGAATGATATTTGGCTTAAGAGCCATGGCTCAAGATAGAGGAATTGAAGATTCTTGGCCAGTACAAGAGTACATCTAATGAGGACTAGAGAAGAATGTATTTGCTTAGTGACTTGCTGATCACTGATCAAGGGCACTTTAACCCAGGCTGAAGGGAGTGGCAGAACACTACCTCACTATAACCATGAAATCAGATACCATTAAAAACAGCAGGCATGATAGGAAGAATAATAGAGGAATTTAGGAATCAAAGACACTTGAATAGGTAATTTAGTAAACAACTCTCACTCCCATTCTATTAAATCCTGCATTAAAAAAAAAAAAAACTTTTCAAAAATCAAGCATTTTTACAAATGCTTGGACAAAATAAATAAATAAATAAATAAATAACTTTTATAAAATTATAAATTTTTATAATTTATTAAGAAATGGATGCTATGACGTTGAAAGTGAAACAATTCTTTTGGCTAGAGGAATGACTCAAAGGTGCTTCAGAAGCATAACATAGGAAGGTAAATGTCAATTCAGGGATTTTGCAAGATAACAGCTAAAAGGGGCAGAAAGGATACTATGGTCTAAGATGTGTGTTGCCAAATGTGTTGAGAATAGGTAAAAAAAATAAAAACCAAAACCTAAAAGTCTTAACATGTATAACTTTCATTGGTATTTCCAGTAGCTTTCCTCTGTTAATTATTTCCTATTTATCCTATACATATATATATATGTATATAGCTTGTTTTGTAAATATTTGTTTGTATGTTGTTTCTGCCATTAGATTGTAAGTTCCTTGAGGGCAAGGACTATCTTTTGCCTCTTTTTCTATCCCTGGTGCTTAGCAAAGTGCCTGGGAAAGTAGATGCTTAATAAATTTTCTTTGATTGATAATTGACTGGTCTTGAGATTTATCTAGGATAGGACTCCATTGGGATACAGCAATGAAAGGGTATACCTTGTTTAAAGTAAGGATTGAATACAAGGGAAATGAAATAGTAAAGTACATCAAAAAATACACATCTGTGTGGAAATCTATCTAAAGTAAGGTAGAAAGCATTTGGGTGAGCAACAATAAAAGAAAAACCAAAGGATTTCATGGTCAGAATATCCTGGCACCAAGACTTAGTAGCTATGTGACCATGAGGAAATTACTTAAATTCTTTGAGCCCTTTTCCTTTTCTGTCAATCACAGGATGACAAAACCTCAAAATTGGAGGCCCCTAATATATATGATAATGATAATAATAGTAATAATAAAAGCTGATATTTGTATAGTGCTTTAAGCCTTGCAAAATAATTTGAATACTTATCTCATTTAATCCTCATAAATCCGTGAACTTAGTCATTACGAGTATTATTATCTCCGATTTTAACAACACAAACTTGCTTATATAATGCTTTCTATTTCATCTTCACTGTTTCTGTAAATCTTTGCTCTTAGAGACATGAGTACTTCCTTCAGCTAGGGGGTGGACTGGATAGAGTGCTGAGCTTAGAATCAGGAAGACTCTTCCTGAGTTCAAATCTGGCCTCAGACATTTACTGGCCATATGACCCTGAGCAAGTCACTTAACTCTGTTTGCCTCAGTTTCTTATTTGTAAAGTGAGTTGTAGAAGGAATGGCAAACCACTCTACCATCTTTGCCAAGAAAATCCCAATTGGGATCATGGAGAGTCAGACATGACTAAAATGACTGAACAACAACAACAACACTACTTTCAAAGGTAGAAATCACAACCCAGCCATGGCTTTCTTATCTTATGTAATTCTTATCTGTACCTAAAATATCTTCCACAGGATATACCCAACATGCTGGGGACCTTTGTCAGGGTCTTTTAACATTCTATGAGTACCAGAGCATCACCTGGGCTACTAATTTGTCATCTCTTGTTCTCCATGTATGACTAGCCGACCTACTTTTCCAATCATACAATGTCTTTAATGATATCTTACGGTTCTTGGAACATAAATCATTGCAAGCAATATGTGGCAGCCTACTTAAGTCTTTTTCTAGATAGTATCCTTTAAATCTTCCACTTGCTTTGCTACTGATTTCATCTTTCAGAATCAGAGAAAGAAGTGGCTGCCAAAGCAGACAGGATGATATTGCTGGAACTGAGATAAGGAAGTAAATGCCAGGGATAGTGGGATTTGTACCCCAGATTTTAGGGAAGTAGAACTCAAAGATATCAGAAATAATAAAGGCAGAATCTTATGATCTGATAGTTTTTTTTAAAGGAAGTTGGCTTTGGTTTTGGGGACTCTCAAGAATGAAATGCTTAAATTATACTTGTGGTTGCTTCCAGTAAGGGCTGTGCTGAAGCCCTAAGCAGTCAGATCTGATGGTTACATTTTCAATGTGAGCATTTTTACCTTGGAAGTGGGGAAACACTATAAATCAGGGCTTGATTTACTGTTTTGTTGAACTCTAAAATTAAAAAAGCGATAGAGAAAATATGAATGATGCAGATTAAAAAAAACAACCTTACATTCCTCTATTCCCAAACCAGCTGTTAAATATTTACCAGCCCATCACTAATTCCAATGAAGAAGAAAAAAGAGATGTGTCAAAACAGACCAATGTGGCTACAAAGGAAGCCTAAATATGATGAGTTTATACTTTTTAAGGGCATATCTGATACATGTAGGTAAAAATTAAGGGGCAGCTAGGTGGCGCAATGCATACAGCACCAGCCCTGAAGTCAGGAGGACCTGAGTTCAAATCTGGCCTCAGACCAGACGCTTGACACTTACTAGTTGTGTGACCCTGGGCAAGTCACTTAACCCCAATTGCCTTAAAAAAATAAAAATAAAAAACTGTGTTGAGAATCATGAAAAAGAAAGAAGGGGCAGATCTGCTGCTTGTATTAGGCAGAGAGAGATGATTATGGAATATGGCTAAGAGGTAGGACTACTGAACTCCAATTCTCTACTTTTTTCCCTTCAAATAATGAGTATGAGCTTCAAACTGAAAATGATAGAATAAAAATGGTTAATGGGGAAGAGAAATTGAAGATAAGTTAGGAGATGGTAAGAGAACATCTAACTATCCTCCATGAGCTCAAATCATCACCTCTCCCTTGGGAATTAACTCCTGGCATACTGAATTGCTGAATTGTAGGTAAACTTTTGAAAATTAGTTGTGAATATTCAGGAGAGATTCAGGGGCCCTAGAAATAGAAAAGAAATGTTAATTCAATTTTTTAAAGAGCAAAGAATGTAGATAAGTAAATTTCTGGAAAAATACTAGAAGCTATTGTCGAAGGGATAGCTTAAAAAGGATAAAGAAACTACAGAAGGTAGCATATGGAATCATTAAAAATAAAGCATGCCTAGTTAATTACAACTCTTTTTTTTTGAAAGCGTTACTAGACTTTTTAACTGCAGATCCCATAGGCCCAGTCTATCTGCATTTTGGTAAGGCATCAGACAACTGTCTCATATCGTCTCCAATATAATCAGGATTAGATGATAATGTTGTTAGGAACTATTTGGAATACTGAACCCCAAATGTTCACTAATTAATTGTTGGCCTGGATAGAGATTCCTAGTAGTATTGTGTAGATCTCTGTCCTTGACTCTGTTCTGTTCAATCTTTTTTTCATCTATGACCAATATGAAGACATGAAGATATAGGGGCATCTAGGTGGTGCAGTGGATAGGACTCTGGCATTGGAGTCAGGAGGACCTGAGTTCAAATCTGGCCTGTTACTTGACACTTACTAAACGTGTCACCCTGGGCAAGTCACTTAACCCTGATTGCCTCACCAAAAACCAAAAGCAAAAAAAAAAAAAAAAGCAAAGAAAAAGAGGCCATGAAGATATAAGGAAGATGAAGATATGAAGATATAGATTTTATACTGATTAAATCTGAACATAACAAAACACTGGAAAGGATAGTTGATATTGTTAGACACCAAAAGATCAAGATACAAAAAGATCTTAATGGTTTGGTGTGATGAGGTGGAATCTAGTCAAATGAAACAGAATTCATCTAAGATTTTGGCATTTGGATTTTGAAAAATCAATTGAAAAAGTATAGGATTGGGGCAGCTAGGTGGTCCAGTGGATAGAGCACTGGCCCTGAAGTCAGGAGGACCTGAGTTCAAATCTGGCCTCAGACCAAACACTTGACACTTACTAGCTGTGTGACCCTGGGCAAGTCACTTTACCCCAATTGCCAAAAAAAAAAAAGAAGAAGAAGAAGAAAAGAAAAAAAAAGAAAAAGTATAGGATTGGGGACAGGGGGTAGTGTGGCTAGAAACCAGCTAAGGGGAACAAGACCAAGAGGTTTTAGTGGTCTGAAGGCTCAAAATGAGTTCACACTATGATATGGCGGCTGGCAAAACCAATATGATTTTAGGCTGCATTGGTAGAAGTACCTAGAATGAGGGCCATGATCATTTTACTCTACTCTGTCCTGGTAAGACCACACCTGGAGTTTTATGTCCCATTCTAGGTGCCAGATTTTAGGAAGGATACTGAGAAATGGCAATGTGTCATTCCAAAGCAGAGTGATCAGAATAGTAAGACATTAAAAATGTGCCATGTGACACTTACTTGAAGGGAAAAAATAATTTTTAGATCTGTCATTTTAAAAATTACAAATCTATTTTCTATTAAGAATAATCAGAACACTCTTGGTCAAAGGTGTGTGTGTGTGTGTGTGTGTGTGTGTGTGAATTACCATCGCCAGTATCAAATTTCTTAACTGGAACAAAGTTGGACCCAAATAAGACAACAGCTACAGCCGAGGAGATGAGGCCGGCAGTGAGATCTGTTCCATTGTTGTTGTGTTCCATGGTGGTGCTGCTTCCTGGGAGCCAGCAGAGGATATTGAAGCTTGATGTAGTTTCAGCTTGGTATCTTTTCTCTTCTAAAAGAAGAGAAAATGAAGAAATGAAAGTTGTGAGAGTAAGCATTATCTTACCTTGAACGTGACTGAGGGAACTCTAATGTTTCACATTTTCCACTCATGCATCCTGAATCTAGAAGTGAATGGGAGAAGTTCAACAACCAAGTCAGAATTAATCCAATGGCTCTCCCTGATATCTGAGATTGGCTTTGCTTCTAGGAGATTTTGGACTATTGCTCAATGATGGATGCTTAGGAAACAACAACAACAATTCATGTGAGTATTGAAATAGATTATATTATTATTATGCTTTAAAATTTCCACATTTGCTCAATTTTCCCAAAGATTAAGGAAGGAAACAAATTTTTATTAAGGGTCTACTATATGTTAAGTGCTTTACAAATATTATCTCATTTGTTCCTAACAATTACCCTAGGAGGTAGTTGCTCTTATTATACCTATTTTACAGATGAGGAAATTGAGGCAGATACCTGTTAAGTGACTTGCCTGTGGTCATACAGCTAGTGTATGAGGATGGATTTGAACTCAAAGTCCGACCATAGAATCTTTCTTTGGTGACAAAGAAGATCAGAAAATATACTCAGAAGGAGACAACAAAAGTTGAAGCTCCTACATCCAAAGCCTCCAAGAAAAAATATGAATTGGTCCTAGGCCATGGAAGGGTTCCAAAAGGATTTTGAGAAGCAAGTGAGAAGTAGAGGAAAAACTGGGAAGGGAAATGAGAGTGATGCAAGAAAATCATGAAAAACAAGTCAACAGCTTCCTAAAGGAGACTCAAAAAAAAATACTGAAGAAAAGAACACCTTAAAAAATAGCCTAACCCAAATGGCAAAAGAGGTCCAAAAAGCCAATGAGGAGAAGAATGCCTTCAAAAGCAGAATTGGTCAAATGGAAAAGGAAGTCCAAAAGCTCACTGAAGAAATTACTTAAAAATTAAAATGAAGCAATTGGAAGCTAGTGACTTTATGAGAAATCAAGACACTGTAAAACAAATCCAAAAGAACGAAAAAATAGAAAACAATGTGAACTATCTCATTGGAAAAAACAACTGACCTGGAAAATAGATTCTGGACAGAGAATTTAAAAATTATTAGACTATCTGAAAGCCATGATCAAAAAAGAGCCTAGACATCAACTGTCAAGAAATTATCAAGGAAAACTGTCCTGATATTTTAGAACCAGAGGGCAAAATAGAAATTGAAAGAATCCACCGATCTCCTCCTGAAAGAGATCCCCAAAGGAAAACTCCTAGGAATATTGTGGCCAAATTCCAGAGTTCCCAGGTCAAGGAGAAAATATTGCAAGCAGCCAGAAAGAAACAGTTCAAGTATTGTGGAAACACAGTCAGGATAACACAAGATTTAGTAGCTTCTACATTAAGGGACCACAGGGCTTGGAATGTAATATTCCAGAGGTCAAAGGAGATAGGATTAAAACCTAGAATCACCTATCCAGCAAAACTGAGTATAATCCTTCAGGGGAAAAAAATGGTAATTCAGTGAAATAGAGGACTTTCAAGCATTCTTGATGAAAAGACCAGAGCTGAATAGAAAATTTGATTTTCAAATATAAGACTCAAGAGAAACATGAAGAGGTAAATAGGAAAGAGAAATCATAAGGGACTTATTAAAGTTGAACTGTTTACATTCTTGCATGGAAAGATGGTATTTGTAACTCATGAGACCTTTGTCAGTATTAGGATTTGGAGGGAAAAAATATGTATGGATAGATAGATAGATAGATAGATAGATAGATAGATAGATAGATAGATAGATAGATTGATAGAGGGCACAGGGTGAGTTGAAGATGAAGGGGTAATATTTGGAGAATAAAATTAAGGGGTGAGAGAGGATTATATTGGGAGAAGGAGAAAGGGAGAGGTAGAATGGGGGTAAATTATCTCACATAAAATGGACAAGAAAAAGCTTTTACAGCGGAGGGGAAATGGGAGAAGGTGAGAGGGAATGAGTGAATCTTATTCTCATTTGGATTTGGCTTAAGGAGGGAATAACATACACACTCAATTGGGTATGGAAATCCATGTTACTCTACAGGAAAATAGGGGGAAGGATATAAGAGAGCAAGAGGATGATAAGAGAGGAGGGCAGATTGGGGGAGGGAGTAGTCAGAAGCAAACACTTCTAAGGAGGAACAGGGTCAAAAGAGAGAATAGAATAAATGGAGGGAGTGGGATAGGATGAAGGGAAATAGAGTTAGTTTTTCACAACATGACTACTATGGAAGTATTTTGCATGACTACACATGTATAACCTGTATCAAGTTGCTTGCCTTATTAATGAGGGTGGATGGGGAGGGAGGAAGGGAGAAAATTTGGAAACCAAAGTTTTAAAAACAAATGTTAAAAATAATTTTCACATGCAACTGGGAAATAAGATATACAGGCAATGGGGTATAGAAATCTATCCTGCCCTACAGGAAAATAGAAAGGGAAGGGAATAAGAGAAGAAGGGGTATAGAAGGGAGGGCAGTTTAGGGGAAGGGGTATTCAGAATGTATGCCATTTTGGGGTGGGGGGAGGGACGAGATGGGGAGAAAATTTGGAGCTCAAAATCTTGTGGAAGTAAATGCTGAAAACTAAAAATTAATTAATAAGAAAAAAAGAAAATTAGATTTGCGCACACTCTGTCTTGTCATTTGGTTTGTTTCTCTATGATGGTCATGTTTCATGTTCATACTGAAAGATTTAAAACTTCTAAGGAACTTCTAAGGTCTATAATTAGAGAGAACATTGGTAAAGAACTTCTAACTTGGGCTTTCAGTAGGAGATTAAGACTTTTTTGGGGGGTCCCAACACTGGCCAAGTTGTGATACAAGAATAAAGTTAGACAACAAGTAATAGAATTTTTAAAAAAGCAGAAGTTAGTTGGAAGGTTAACAGAAGCTTATACTGATAAGGATCTAGAGCAGGCAGGCCAAGACAGAAAGAGCTGAGCGAGAAAGCTGAGAGTTTGAATCTAAGTTTAATTAGATCCTAAAGCTAAAATTTATAGATCATGTTTAAATTAAATCTAGAGAACTGTTTTTGCACCCCTCCCACCAATGTATCTGATATCAAGGCAATGTGTTTAAACTGCAAAAATAAGGGGTTTTCTCTCTCTTTTTTTTTAAGCAATCACTTTAGGATTTCAGTGATTTATATTAACACTATAAAAGCTATTTGTGAAGTGTGTGAGAGAAATACAGCTCTCTTGATTTGTAAATTGTTAGGCATTAACTCCCTCCAGATTCTTACAGATGCAAAGAAGCAGGATAGGATTGGGGTATGATTTTTAATTTGGAATGTAAAGGAAATTGGAGGTAGTCTGAGCAATGGGTTTGAAAGTTTAGGAAAGAGAAATAAAGGTTCAAACAAAAATATAAAGATAGAAAAAAATGATTAGGGACTGACGGAGGTGGGCTGGGCAACAGTAAGCCCATGTACTCTAAGCGTTCCTCAGCCCCATCCTGGGCTGGGTGCCCTTGTGCCAGCTTCGGATGGCTTGAGCATGTTGAGAGGGTGTGAGGAAGTTTGATTTTGTTTTAAGTAGAAAGATTGAAAATGAAAATTTCTTGATTTTAAAACCAATAGATAAAGGTATAGAGGATCTGAAGGAATTGTGTCTACCTGCTTTTTGGGATAAATCTATAGGAGGGCCTTGTTGAATTTAACATTACATAAATGTTGACTATGGTAATGATATTGGTTATTATGATTTGAGATTATTATATAAAATCTTAAAATGTTTACTTGTACTGTTCAATTAACTATTAAACTCTGGAAGCTCTGGAGGTTTCTGCCTGGGGAAACTGACCATACCCTGTCAGAATTAATTCAAATTCCTTAGGTCTTTTTTACCTGGGCCAAAACCTTTAGCTATACTGATGATAACAGGTGATTTCAAACTGTTTGCAAAACTTTATATGCATCAGCCTGAAATTCCCAGGAGGATGGAATGGAGAGCCAGAATGTGTAGGGAAGCTCTTTACCTGATAATTCTCAAAGGAGACAGGACTTCAGTTTTTGTTTTTGTTTTTGTTTTTTTTAAGGAAATAGAGGAAAAAGTAATCAGAGCAGGGAATTGTCACCATGTGTCTTTTTAAGGGAATATATGAATTTATGGATAATATTTCCTTTTAAAGGTCCAAGAGTATTGGACTTTTTAAAAAATTAAAATGTTTACCATTAGTAATTATACCATTACAATTAGTGATTATAAATCCGGATTTGATTTGATTTAAGTCAAAATCTGTTTTGAAGGAATAAGGACAACATCGGAGAGTGCTCTTCTTATCCTTAGGATTAAGCACAAAAAGATTTAATCAGAAACTAGTAAAGTATATGTAAACTACTTAAGACTTGCCTTAAAGATGTTCCCAACCAATGTGAGATTATAGTCGCATATCTGAAACTGTGATTATTGGAACTTGTTATTCAAGACCTCATGGGACTATTGACTGACATTATTTTGAGTCTGACTCCTGGTATGGTTATCAAGGAATGCTACTGAGCCACTGATCCATGATGCCAGCAGCCCTGTGAGGCCTATGGACTGCAAAGGGTGTTCTCATGGGAAAAGCTGGGAGAATGAGTATTTCACATGAGCTGAGATAAGGTTCTCCCGATTCAATTTCCCCACTGACACCTCGCAGACTTTAACCCTGGCTCAATACAGTTGGACATCTGCATCACTTTTGCCTGGAATTGACATTGTTCCCTTACTATAGTTATGTTCCTATTCTTTTATGGCAATTTTCTATAATTAAAAAGTTTTATAAACATCATTAAATCTATTGAATAATAGATTGACACTGGAATATCTGAGTTATTATAGTAAGATGCAAATATAAGATTGATCTATTTGGTTTAGAATTTTAGCCCAAACAACTAATTAAATATTTAGCCTTGACATCTGTTACTAGTATATATTCCTATATAAATTAGAGTCCTTTAATTCCTCATTATGGCATAGGGATAATTAAGACAAGGACTTGTGAAACCAAAATATTATTCTGTTACTTAGTTAATATCATACCTATCTCAGTTCTGTTACAATTAGTTAATTTTAGAAGAAAAAAGCTTGTGGTCTATCTTGTAAATGCCTTAAGAAATGTCCATTTTACTTAAGGGTTATTTATTTGAACATGACCAGAAGTTGGAATTGTTTTATTACTTGATATGTACTGTTTTAAAATTGATTACTCGATGTATTATGTATGTATTGGAGTCGGTTATAAATTCCTTAGTGGAATCTCAACCTCTTGATGGTGGAATGAATAATGAATTAATACAAAGTGTAAACTGGGTTCTAATTTTTCTTAGGTATATAAACATGACAATTGGTCAAGGTCCCAATTTTTGATTTATAACAATAGCGACATAAGGGTTGAGTTAACTTTCATTATTTGACCTGGTTATTGGCAAGGCAATTTAAAATTGTGTTAAGATCAATTCTGTAGGAGAGTGAACACAAGAAAGAAGATCTCTACAAGGAGTCTTAAGAAGACAGTCCTCTGGAGACTGCTTAAACCACGCTCTGACTAGAAAACTTCATCAGATGATGTCCCGAAAACCAGAGAGCTGTATGAGATGAGACTCCTGAGCCTTAAATGGACATTTTATTTATTGTTTACTTACTTACTAAGGTGACTGCCTTCTTCAATTTGTCGATGCATTGATCAATTTCTCAACTTTCCCCCCTTCCCATATTGTTATCCCAAAACCCTTGATGAAGTGTTGACCATATCAGTTAATGATTCATTGAGAAGTCTATCCCTCACATTAGAATCAGATGGGGGAATGTAAAAAATGATTCTTAGAGCTTGCCCCCCAGTCCCCCCCCCAGCCCCACTCCCCCTTCTCTAAAGTTCTTCACAAGAACATTACTGATAATGAGATCGCATTGAATTTAATCCTGGTCAAACTCCAATGCAGGCCTGAATTGATTTGATCTGCTAAGGCTTGGGTGGGGACAGATTCTTCTGCCTAGATAACCCAGGGTTGGGAGTGGTCTGGTTCATCTGTCCAGAGTTAATGATGGTGGGGTGATATCAGTCCCTGTTGGAAGGGTATATAAACTGGGCACTCCAAATCCCAAACTGAGACAGTTTTGGATTATAACTCCCTGGCAATGCATGTCAGGCCAGCTTGTGAGAGAAACAGAACATGGGCACACAACCTAATAGTTTGTTTCTTTCTTAGAACAAACTCTGTGAGAGGTTGACACAGGAAATTATCTGTAAATGAGAGTTATGACATGATCATTGGACTAGAGATACATGACAAACTATTTCTACTTCTCTGATTTTAGGGCATACATTTTACCTCTCTCCTCACCTTATATTACATTTTTTTTTTATAAAAGGCCAATAAGAAATGGAGAAAATATGTCATGGAAGATAAAGAGATGGTTTTGGAATCAGAAAGACTTGGTTTTAAGTCCTGCCTCTGGCACATACTAGCTGTGTGACCCTGGAAGAGTCAATTAACCTCTCTTATCTATCTCTGACAGCTCTCTGGGTAACAGCCAAAATTCTAGAGCAGGTGCTCTTAAGTTTCCTTAAGCAGAATTCCCTATACCAATGAAATAACAGGTCTGCCCTGCCACCCTCCTCCCCCACAAAAAAGAAAAAAAATGGGTAGTATTAAGACTTAAAGTAAGAAATCATTTGGTTAGAGTGCAAATTCAAAGGCTTCCTATAAGTATATTATAAGTAGAGCTGTAAATAATAATTTAAAATAACTTTCAACATTTACCTCTGCATAGAGAAACTGATTTCAAGTATGGAATAGAGCTCCTGGGCTCAATTCTGACTGCTTAGTGCCCATTAGCCAAGGTTAAGTATCATATTTTTGTTGGAATTAGTGTCTGAGGATATTTTGAAGCCTATTACCCAACAGTTCAGGGATGTTACAAAAATGATTATGATAGAAACAAATTTCTGTATGAAACATCATTAGCTATTTCAAGTGAGGTATATTGACAATGGATAATTTTTCACTCTCTAAAGGAAAGCTAACACTTTTCCTTGATCGTTGGGGAAGACCTTTGTAAATTGAAAGCAATTGTGATTTTTTTTTAAAAGAGTTTCATGTAGCAGATTACTTTTTGGAGGAAAATAAAAAAACATATTTCGAGGTTGTTATTGATAATGCAATGTCAAGTTACAAGAAACAAATTTTGTCATTGTTTTGAATTAGATTAATTGATAACTATTGATAACTACCATCATGTTGTGAAATATAACAGTACTTTAAAAATTCTGTAATGCTATATAAATACCTACCACTAAAATTATTAAAAATCATTTAAAAAACAAGCAAACAAAAAACCCAGTCCTTTCTCTCCAATAACTTACATTCCACTGAATAATTCATTAGGTGACATCCATCACCAGTGAATGAATTCTCAGTCTCTTTTCATGGTATCAAATTTGGTTCTAGAGTTAGAGGGGAATATCTGAAATCACTCAGTCCAACCTATCTTATTTTACAGACTTGGAAACTAGAGAGGGTAAGAGCCTGCCCACATTCCAGTGGGCAGAGAAAATCAGAGCCGGGATCTGAACCTGGGGCCAGCAGCCTTCAGATGCAGTGAGTGTTCCTCACCCCCTCCCACCTGATGCTGCCTTACTTTTACTGACTTCATGGGCTGAGCAGGTGCTGCAGCAGAATGAATTTGGGCTACTCTATCCACTTTTGGTTTTTGTTTCAGTTGATTTCCTTAATCTCTACTAAAGCTTCACTCACGGTTAATAGTACAGCCTCTTTTTTAAGTGCTTGGCTTGTTTTTCCTGTCCCTCCTCCCTCAAATCCAGACATTCTTCAGTCTTGTAGTCACCCCTTCCATTCCCCTGGAAAGTTTCCCCATCTAGTTACTACTGTACTTACAGCACAGCTTTCTTTCTCTGTCTCTCTCCCCAGGGCAGTTTCCTCTGATTTCTTCCTGCCTAGACACTAACACTGCCTAGTAGCTCCACCTTCACCTCTCATGTGATCATTCTCTTTTCTGATCTTCTTTCATTTCTAGTCTTGGTTTTCTGACCTTCCTCTTTCTTCCTGCAAGTGCCCTTATTTAGTGAATTAAAGGCCAAACTTCTTTCACTGACAAGGTGCTAGTTAAGACCAGGGGTCTAAGGTTTTCTTCTTCCCTGAGGGTAAAATGCTTCTGTATTTGTCTTGTGATTGAAGCTGGGCAGGATTCAGGCTGCTGCCTCAAGCCCAGGGTGGGTGGGAGAGGCTCCTCTAATTATATCTGCAAACCTTGTGGGCTTGAGGTCTTGCTCCACAGATGAGATCACACAGTGCTTTCCAACCTTACACCCTCTCCTATGGTTACACTGTTGGGCATAAACTGTAGTCCCTATAAACAAGCACAACCCTGTGCAGTCACAGAGCTGAAGGAGATATCTAAGCTAGGCCTTTCCCCTTCACTACTACACCCCTTTCTGTACTATCCTCTTCTACTGCTAAGTTCTTGTATGTCACTCAACAGACCTTTCTTATGACATCACAGTTCATTATCCTGCCATGACTAAGCCTTTCTTTATAGGCCATGGACCAGACCATGCAATGGCTGTTAAGATAGGAGCTGTGCAGACAATGAGGACCAGTCAAGACCACAAGTCAACAGGCATTTATTAATCACTTATTATATGCCAGGGCCTATCCTAAGTATAGGAATACAAAGAAAAGCAAAAACAAGGTCCTTGTTCTCAAGGAGCTCACTGAATTCTACTGGGGGAAATAATAGGCAAACCATGATGTACATACAAGATACTGAAATATCTGTATCTTGTATGTACGTCATGGTATAGATATACATATATACATATGCACCATAGATAGATAGATAGATAGATAGATAGATAGATAGATAGATAGATAATCTCGGAGGGAAGGCAGTAACAGTGTATGAGTGTGTGTGTGTGGGGTCAGGGGATAAGAAAACATATATAATTCTCAGAATCACAGCTATTTTGAAACAGTGCCTGTGTTCATAAACTGTCATCTAAAATAAGCTAGGAACAATTGTGTTTCACTTAAATAACTAGGAGAACCAAGGGAAAGTCTTCTGATATGAAATGGGAAGGTCAGCAATATGAGAGGGAAGGGAATATTAGAGGAAATTGACCCTCCCTACTATCTTGTGTTGTCCTGCCCCCCTCCACTCCTCTGACCTGGAACCTATGGCTAAGGTTTGGGGAAATCAACAAGCATTAAAGACCTTAGTTCAAAAGGGCCAAGTTCTCCCACTGCATCCTGGGCCATCTCCAGTTTCCTGATCTATATCTGGCCATTGGACCCAAATGGCTCTGGAGGAGAAAGTGAGGCTGGTGACTTTGCATAGCCCTCCCTCACTCAAATCAAAGTCAATTGCAAGTCATGTCATCATCTCCCTGATGTCATGGTCCATTTCCAGAACAAAAGACAAACCATACAACTCTGTTCCAGGCACTGAAGGATAAGGGGAGCTAGGAGTTACATTCTCCCTTTTATTCATCTTCTCTGGCAGGCAGTCCTCACAGTTATTTTTCCAAATGTTCTCCTCTTTCCTTAAGCCTCCAACAACAACCAAAGAACCTTATTTCTCAAGCAGATAAACTCACATCCCACTTTAGGGAGAAAATCCAAGGCCATCCTTTCTGAGAACCCTTATTTCTTTTCTCCATCCCTCTCTTGATCTTCCCCAATTCTCTACACCTTTCTTCTATTCTCTGAGAATAATATTAGTACTAATAAAGATGATATTATTGATAAGAAAGAGCCTGGAGAAAGTAGCTTATATCCCAATATTTTATTTGATTACAAAAAGCAGTTATCTTATTCACGTAGGCAAGAATTCCCAGAACACTGACTACAAAAGATTAACAGCAGGTTAAGACCTGCAACAGAATCATTAGTGTCTGGACTCCATTGAAAAAAAAAATGAGATTAAAAATAAAAACAACAGCAACCAGCATCAACAGAACATTTTCAGGTTTGCAAAGTGCTTATTGTCTTACGTGGTCCTCGTAACAATGCTGTGAAGTAGGTAGATGCTCTTATCATTACAGTCTCCATTTTATGGAGGAGGAAATTTAGGTTCAAACAAATTGAGACAGTCCTTTTCCATCACAAGCTAAACCTCATTCACTCAATTGGGTTGTTGATTGTCACCATGTCCTCCCAGAGTTAGCCTTACTAATCTTTCTTTCCCATTCTTCTTCCAACACTCTCTAATTACTGATTCCTTTCCTGCCGCTGACCAGTATGCTGAGGTCTTACCTATCCTTAAAAATCATGCCAGCCCTTTGAACTATTGTCCTAAGTCAGTTTCTGCTCTTTTTCACTCCTGAACTCCTGGAGAAAGAATCCTCTATACACTCAGTCTTCCCTTTCTCACTATCCTCTCACTCCTAAATCCTTTGCAGTCTGGATTCTATTTCTTTCACTTTACTGAATTTGCTTTTCAAAGGTTAGCAATGATTTCCTAACTACTAAACCCACCAGCTGTTTCTCTTTGAATGTTCTGTGGCATTTGATTTTGCTGATCACTCTAAACTCCTCTATAGGCTTGCTTCTCCCACCTCTCCCCTCCTTACCTATGACATTGCTATCTCCTGGTTCTTGTCCTATCTGTCTGACATTTCTTTATTAGTCTCCTTTACTGCTTCCTCGTATTTTTTCTTGTTCTTCCTAAGCATGGGCATGGGTGTCCCCCAAGCCTGAAACTTGGGCTTTCTTTTCTTCATCCTCTACACTTTCCCATTTTTGTGATCTCTTTGGGATACAGGCCTAGAAGAAAGGTATGCAACATTTTATAGCCCTTTCGGCATAGTTCCAAATAGCTCTCCAGAATGGTTGGATCAATTCACAACTCCACCAACAATACATTAAAGTTCCAATTTTCCCACATCTTCTGCAACATTTATCATTTTCCTGTTTTGTTGTGTTAGCCAATTTGATAGGTGTGATGTGGTACCTCAGAATTGTTTTAATTTGCATTTCACTAATCAATA